GACATGCAGGTATACAGATAAAATATTTAATTTTTTATTTAATATAAATATTAAATATTAAATATTTAAATATTTAATTTTTTTCCAGTAAATGTCTTGTTTTGATGAATTATTTTGCCTTATGTGGTGATTTTAACAACGATACGACCTTTAATCTCATATGAAAACCCTAAAGCAAATACACACCCACACAAGCATTTCAAATCCTCAGTCTTTTATTTTGAGTGAATACTGGTGAAATTCTGTCAACTTCTGTTTCCACAGAAATGCTTGAAATTATCTAAAGGTATAAATAAAGTTATTAACTTTCCACCAACTCACAAACCCCCTTCAGTTCCCTTAAAAACCCCTATTTATAAGAAACCCTAGTCTAATGCAAAGAAATTAACATATTTCAAGCATGGCTTCAGTGTCCAAATATTCCCGTCTAGTCACTGTAAATATACAGGTGTGCCTGAGACTTCATCCAAGGATGTTGAAGCTCTCTGATGGTTATAGAACTGCCAAATCTCAGTCTTTTGTCACATTCCTCTCCATTCCTTCTTCCTCTGCACTCTGTCCATCATAATTAAAGAACACATTACAGTCTCAGACTGACAAACTCACTGCCATTCAGCCCAAAATGAAAACTAATGAGAAGACTCTGCTGTGTTTGCTGATCCCACCGCGTCCCTAAGGAGGACTGGTCCACCTCTCCAGATGATGGAAAGCTCCAGATCTCTCTCTCTCTCTGGCTCAGAAAGTGGACACTAAAAGAGGAGGGCGAATTTCGGGCAAGGTCACTCAGGCAGCGCAGCACTCTTACACTGGCACATTCGGTAAACAATGTGTACGATCAATAAGGAATTATTCTGGCAAGAGCTGCCTCAGCACAAAGCCGAAAACACAGCAGAATCATTCGATTTGAAGGGATTGACAGCTCTTTTCAAGATAGCTTCATAATATTTTCTCTCTCTCTTTGTTTCTTTATTGCATTTTCTTCCACCATTTGCTTTGTCACTAAAATCATAAACTGATATGGTCCTATAGAGATTTTAGTAGCTATCTCTGCTGAAATTCAGACTTGATTTGGCTAAATTGAATCAATCCAATTTATAATCCTCACACTGTTTGCCTTTTGCTTTTACCATTTTTTTTGACTATTTACCAAGAAATAAATACACTTAAAGCAGTTTAAAAGATTTTAAGAATATAATATCAGAATCAGAAATATTCATATTTAATAAACCTGGATATTCATACATTTCCGTGTAAGCATAGAGAAAAGTTTTGTGTTTACGTATCTGCGGATTGAGCTTGAGTAAAGTGTATTCAGCAGCAGCTGGTCAAACCAGCGCTCCACCACTACCCATTACACATCAGCACCGCAACCTCATGTGTCCCTCTACAGCCACCATACCACAGCCCAAACATCCATATGGCCTTGACCTCAGGGAATCCCCTCTGCCAGGATCTTTACAGGGTGTTTGTGTGGACGAATGAAATTAGACAGCTACACACGTACATGCATACCCGCAAACACCGGCCAACATTTCAATGGGACAGGTGGTGATATGTGCCTGGCTAATCAATCCAGCCATTTACTCAAGCAACACAAACACACTAAAACCTAGAGAGCTGCCTCGCTGCTCACCGTCTACATAAGCAGCTGAATCTCAAAGGCAGACAAATTCACACAAATAGCTCCACACATGTATGACTCAAGCAGCCGATTTCAATAGATTTTGACCAAAGTACCTTTTTAAGGAAAGTCCGTTCACTCAGCGGCAATATTTGCAACGCCTCCAAGCAGCTATTTCAAGCATGCAAGACCAACCTATCTACTTGAAACAGGAAACACTTAAATCTCAAAACTGCTTGCCAAACTCACATTTAAATAACATATTTTGAATCAGCAACTAATTCTGACATAAAGTCACCCTTAATTAAAAAAAAAAAAAAAAAAGAAAGGCACATATTTCAGTCCCAAGCACACGTCTCAGGTCACTGACTTTCTATAAAAACCCAACTTCTAACGGCCGCAGAGACGCGATGACTTCACTAACTGCTAATTGGTTCTTTTAAGAATGCGGGACATTTTCCACCATACTGCGAGTCGATGGTGTCATTGAGGCTTATTTCATAGAAGCAACCTTTACATTTCAAAGATAGAAAATAGCCTTTGATATGAAACACAGCATATGAGCAATATAAAGGAATCCTCTTGTTATCTTTGCTTTGACATTAGCATGTTGCTAGCTAATGACACAATGCTTAGTGGTAAACTGGTACACATACTTTACACATACTGGTAAAATGTAAAAAAATATATATGTATGTATAAAATATGTATTTTTAATTTAACAACAACAAAAAAATCATTATCTGTACTTTGCAATATTGGTTGTAAAATATGTTTTCAACTAATTTACCTTCTTGAATGCATATTTTTCCACGTGTTCGTAAAGATAAATGCAGTGATATCTTAAAATGTGGCTGAAATTTGGTACAAAAAGAGGCCTTTCAAAAATGAAAATTCTGGCATTATCCAAAACCTTTGACTTTATTTCTTGTGCCGAACACAAAAAGAGATATTTTGTAAAAACGTCTCAGTGTTTTTGGTCCAGTCAGTTCGGTCCATTGTTGTTTTGAATCCCATTGACTTTCTCAGTATGAGGAAAAACAGTTCTTCAGAATATCTTTTTGTGTGTGTGTGTGTCCCACAGAATAAAGAAAGTCGTACATGTTTGGAATGACATGAACTACTGTGGGTGGCCTGTTAATATTCCCTTTTATACAAAATACAAAAAAATGGATTTGTCAGAATGTGTAAATGCAACATGCTGCACAGGGTATGTGCATTTTACTTACGCAAAAGAAGCAAAGTGAATTCATTTCTGACCCTTCCCCTTCCAGAAACCCTCTTGCCTTTACAGTATATTTCTTACCAGTATTGCCAATGAGTGCAAGCCACATTGTGTGGGAGGGACACACATACACACTCCAACTCCGCCACACACACTGGTGTTGATTATAATAGTGTATCGGGGTTTGCTCTAACACCTCTGCCTACGGAGCTCTCCCTCGAGTCTGCAAAAACCTTTCAAACAGAACTCTTAATTAGATGGAACAGAGGTCATCTAGAACCAGATCACAAGGACACACAAATACACTCCCACACAAACACTTCCTTCCTTCCCTCTTTTTCTCTAATAAATAACATAGACATTAGCACTTATCAGAAGCTGAACTTTCTGTCTGATAATGAACTGGAAAAAAAAAGTCGGCCTGTCACATTCATTGCTTTTAAAACGCGTTCACATTTCACAGCTTGTTGTGAGTGAGATCCAGGCAGTCAAGCCGTACGTATTCATGCCTTCACCACCAGCTCAAACGTTCATTCACCAGACAGATTACAGAAATCCTCAGCAATTTCCCCAACACTGTTGTGTGGTACTCGAACAAATCCACACATATTAAATCCATCCGTGTCTCAATCTTTTCCCGGCCCGCTCAGGTGAATGAGAACAGTTGTCATAAATTTGAAGCCAATCTGAATGTGTGTCAACGCTTGCGTGTTTTCATGCATCCTGGAGTCTTATGCGAGCTTATGTGTTGGTGGATATCTGATTCTTCCTGTTTAATGAGACAGATTTAACCTTCGCAGGCGTTGCGGATTTTAAGTATCAGAGTCAGAAAAGAAGATCTAAATGAAAACTCTCATAGCATGATTTGTCTTTAATACCTGGAGAAAGCTATCCATTAGCATTCCAATACATCCCAATGGCAGTTGCTTGGCTGGTGCAGGACCTATGCAGAATGGCATTTAAAATCTGTCATCTTTGCCATTTTTGAGCCAATCACCTAAGACGTTACTCGCATAAATACTAGGGCTGTCAGTTTAACGCGTTAACTTAATTAATTAGTTATGAAAAAATAACGCAATTAAAATATTTTAACGCAGTTAACGCACTGGCCCCGCCCCCAGACCTGTACTTCATCTTACATTTCATACAGCTGACTGTTGACAAATATGATGCAGGGAAACAACCCCATAAACAAAGTTATGCCCTAAAATTCAAGATATTGGGGCAAAAATGCTCCTGTATGAGTTTTTGTCTCATGTTTATCACATGATAAGAGATATCACACGAGCAGCGAGAGCAGTATCACACGAGTGCTGTTTTTGTCCCGAATATCACAAGTGCAAATGTGATTTTAGCCTATACAACAGTTCAGTAAATAAGTTGATATTGTGTTATATTTTAAACACAACATTGTTTGTTTTTGCTCAGTTTTGCCAACAAAAATATTACCTATAAAGCCACAGCAGAACTGTTGTACGTGGGTGAGGAACACAGCGGTGTTTAGTTTCTGAATGAATTTATGTTGAATCAAATGATAAGAGATATCACACGAGCAGCGAGAGCAGTATCACACGAGTGCTGTTTTTGTCCCGAATATCACAAGTGCAAATGTGATTTTAGCCTATACAACAGTTCAGTAAATAAGTTGATATTGTGTTATATTTTAAACACAACATTGTTTGTTTTTGCTCAGTTTTGCCAACAAAAATATTACCTATAAAGCCACAGCAGAACTGTTGTACGTGGGTGAGGAACACAGCGGTGTTTAGTTTCTGAATGAATTTATGTTGAATCAAATGAAATATTTCTTTCTAAAGCTACTATTTGTAATGTCTACTTAATACTTTCTCATTTAACACAAAATAGCTTTAAATAATCTTTTGGGGGTATTTTCACAGCCAAATGTAATTTGTGATTAATGACACATTAATTAGCCTACATTAAAGATGTTAATCGACTGACAGCCATAATAAACACTAGCCTACTCATCTGAATAGACTAAGTTGACTTTTGGATCTAGAGTTACAGCATCAGCCAACCATAAGGGTCTATCCGGAGCTTGCTAACTAGCTAAACCTTAACCAGCTGTGTCAGACAGACATTATTTTCTATTACTGATGCCCCTTGTTCGTTTTCTCTCTCTCTCTCGTGTAGGTGCGAGCCAGTGCGATCGCTCAAGATGCTGATCAGAACTATGACTACGCCTCAAACAGTGTGATTCTGCATCTAGACGCTGGCGATGAAGTCTACATCAAACTGGATGGTGGCAAAGCCCATGGGGGCAACAACAACAAATACAGCACATTCTCTGGCTTCATTCTTTACGCCGACTAAATGTGAGCGCAGAGGAAAAGCAGTTGGAAAGAAAGAAATATAGCGAAAGGAAAGTGGAAGTGAAGGAAGGAGCATTTAACATCCCAGTGCTTTATTTTACCAGGATCTCTCCATTGCTTCAGCACACATTTTTACAGAAAGAGACTCAGTGGAACGAGGGTTCGGTAGCTTCTCGTCGATTCACCTTATTGATTGATAAAAGACAAGGAAATAAAGTGAAAAAAAGTGATGTTTTTCTCTTTCGGTTTTCAAAGGGCATTTTTTTCTTTCTTGTTTAAGACTCCAAGAGTGACTGGCAGAGATCGTTAACCTCATCCTCATGTGCTTTTCCTCAGTAAAACTCTTTTTGCCCACAGATATCTAATGTTAAAAATATCCCTGACAACCTGTGGAAAAAAAGTATGTTACTTTTGAAGGATATGTGGATCTGATGACAACTTATGTATTCATATAATTCTAACGCTTGTGTCCGGTTTCTCCTTACCTCTATATTGGACACAGCACCCCCTGTTGGCTATTGTTGGTAACTGGTTTGCATCTGCATTCATTCCGTATATGTTGTACTCTGTTGGGACTGCAGTAGCTGATGATCGGTGTGAATGAATGTTATTCCTTACAAGCACTTGATACTTAATTTAGACAATTGATCCTCTGCTACTCCCGCGACTCCTTTCCTCCCCTGTCAATTAGCACTCGACCCTAATCTCGCTCCTCTCAGTCACTTTCTGCCCCTCCAGAAACACCAGATGACTTAGTCTA